ATTTCAATCAAGTAATGCTTTTGAGTATACGTGTGTTGTGGGCAAATGAGTATCTCTGAATAATCAGACGCAAAAAATGAATAATTGTTGAGTAGTTGTCATGTAGTCGTATTCCTGAAGCCGTTGGCATTTTGCATTGCAGCGTTACGAATATGCAGAATTGATGGATATACCCCCATTCGATCACATCATTTTACAATTAAATATTGAACCTTCTTAAAAGCAATTGGATATAGGGCATGCAATAATAGCCAAAAACGAGGTTAAAAATTGATAACAGTGATAACAGACTCATTTAATAGGTTTTTTAGCATAGCCCATTCACAATAAGGCCACTTTCACTTAAAAAGTTGCTAAAAAAAGATACTACCGATATAAAGTTCCTTTCTCCGGACTAGTAATTGAGATAGGAATAACCTGTTACTCCTATCCCTATGATACTACCTCAAATCTGAGTGTTACAGATGCTGAAACTAGAGAATAGGAGCTGACACAGTAGATAAACAGTAAACAGGGAAGAAAAACAGTCGTCATCTAAGAGCAAGGAGAATGTGAATTGGAAATATGTGACATGTGAAAAGGTGGAGATGTCGTTGCCAACGAAATGCTTGGGTGTTCATGCTGATGTTGAAAGAGGACATAAATGCACTGTAACAATACGATACTCCTCCGAAGTCACCCAGTGGCGGAAAGGGGATTGAAACAAGTCTAAACAGGTTCAGGCCTATTTTTATTGATAAACGTTAACATTAGATATCTGGCATGGGAGTAATAAAAGACATTAGTTAACACACTTAAATTGCTTAGTCATATGAACGAAAATGTGCTGTAACAACTGTACCTCATTGGGTTTGAATCAGACATTAGTTAGCTTTTGATATATAGTTGAGTGAAATGGTAACCAAATTAATCATAAACCAAAAAGTGCCTCAGATGAATGGCTTTTCTGCAAAACTATATCGTCTATTAAATTTTTTTGATTGACATGGCTACAAACAAACTAGGAGGAAACTAGCTAAGTGGTGGTTATCTATTTATGTGCCGAGCTACAGGTACCAAGTCTCGTTAAATGTTTACCTCATTACAATAGCTTTGTAATACTCGCATACCAACGGAACAATAGGTAATATTAACACAAGTTTCATTGGGAGCATTCGATGCCAACAGTTTGTCATCAGTGCGGGCTGAATAAATTCGTAAATAAATCCGAAAGGGAGAATGTAGCCTAAACAGGCTGGTACAAGTAACTGGCTAAGTAAATCGTAGAGAAAAGCCCATAAATAAATTATGGTGCAAGATATTCGATGAAGAAAAGTTGGCCTTCAAGTGAAAATGTTTGATGAAGAGATTTGAAGGTTGATTGTACCAAAAGACGGCGGCGGATTCCTCTTGCCCAGCTAACGATTTTCTTTACAAGAACATTCTTGTTGACACTGTTTTTTGAGCAATCTCCTTCGATTACGGTAAAAATGTGCTGGGCTCATCGGAGAACTTATAACTGTGGTATATAAACAACATTTAGGGATAAGTAGGTGAGTTTTCTTGACTCGCTAGATTGAAGATGGTTGTAAGGATGATAGCCTGCTCTGATGATGTCTGTAATACGACGGACAAAAGTTCAGCACGTTTTCACCGGAATCGAAGGAGATTGCCTCGGAAACAGCTCCAACAAGAATATTTTATTTGAGCCTATTGACAACTGGTCAAGAGGAATCCGCGGATGGCCGTCTTCTGGTGGGATCGATCCTCGAGGCTCGTTATAAAACTCCTTAACTTGAAATCTAAGAAAGCTTAACAACATATTTGATGTCCAAGGTCTCTGCAAATGAGAGTATGGGAAATGAAGCCAAGAAATAATGAATTTATTTTTTCTATTTAATCGCTCATTTTATCTTTACTGCAGAAATTGATAGCAACTTTTGCAAAAAGGGTGGGAGAATTAAGAAATTAAACTGCATACCTGCAAAGCGCTCCAAGTGACTTTACTGGGCACATCGGCCGAGTTGCGTAGCAGCAACTCGTGCAAAGTGTCCACTTCGTGAACCATTTCGGTGGTGGACTCAGCTAACCGGCGCGAGGTGCCCGTCATGAGCAAATGTCCGCTGCCAACATTGGCGTCGCTACCAGAGACAGACAATTTTGGGAGCCCAGTAGTGGGATCGGGCGGGGGCAGAGCAAAAATGGCCGTCTGGACCTGTCTAAAAAAGCTGGCTGAGGATTTGGCCAGACACATTGTAGCCTAATCATTCCGTAATGTGATTGTGAGTGATGGTATAATTAAAACGATAAGAAAGTGACAATAAATAAAATTGAATAGATTATCGTGTGTGAGGAGACTTTAAGCCAAGTCAAAAACGGCGTCTTCACTGATTATGGCCTATTGCTACCTTAATATGAATCTCTGATATCGTTAAGATAGGTGGGGTAGCCATCCAAACTGCCGCGACATGAAAAAGATCCCAGAAGCTTCTATATGCATTGTAGGCATACACAAGGAGTGAGAATTATCGAAATAAAATGCTTACAAAATATAGTGCAATACTTTGCCTTGTACATATTAATAAATAATCCAAAGGATAGTGTCGTATTGTCTAGGTTTTTGAATATGTGGTGACATTTAAATGTCATAAGCTAAGTAACTTAACTTTAGTTGGCCTGGGAACTAATTTAAAGACTTACTGAATAGAGGAGTTTACCATGAGGTCTCTGTCTGGTATGCAATCCTCTTGAATTCCCAACCTGCGTCTGTTAAGATATGTTGTGCTTAATAATTAAGACTAATAATTAATTAGATTTTAGGAAGACGCGATATTAAAGTACGCAGCTTCTGTCTCTTCTTTCTCATAAGATAAAGTATAAACAACTGGTAAAAAAGTAGCCAAAAGCATGCCGAAATAAGTCAGCAAAATATGAAAGGTCCCCTGAAGAGAATGCGGAGTG